CAGTTAGTAATAAAGTTCGCTTCATGAAATGGTCCTGGTCAAGCATGGGGTCTTGATAGTCCCTTTCATGCATAGGTAACTGGAGCTCTCTCCTAGAACAGAATGATCCTGGAAGCCCTCATGCTTGAGTTTCATGAGCTCTCCCTGTAGGACTCTCGTGAGCTCTCCCAGGCACGACACTCGTGAGCTCCATCATGGGTAGTCAGCCAACCAGTAGGCCTGACAGGGGTAAGGGTGGTGGTGTTCAGTGCACTAGGGCGGGCCTCGACCCATTATCAAAATGCACCGCGCTACAGTTCGTAGTAATGAAGACCAATTAAACTATTAGAGTTTATGGGTCGCGATAGATCAGGGTAAAAATTGCTCGGTGCTGAAGCTGCCGTAATAAAATATATGTTTTCCATTTAATCTTGGCAGTCCAATGTGCAGTAATTATAGAGGTTAGAGGCGGGTAAAAGTCCTGTGTGTTGTTTAGGTATTACCACGCCATTATCATCTCTCCAAACATTAACAAGTACGACATTTAGAGACAATGCTAGTGACAAAAGTTTACTAAATCTACAGAAAAACGAAGACGTGTATGGCTACTCAACATCAGTTAAAATATTTTGGGAAGATCCCCGTGACTGGTTTTGAGGATTTTACTCCCGTGCACTTGAGGCAGATCTGTGGCACACATCTCTACATACTACTTAGCACAAGCTTTTCACCGCTAATTTATGACCCTCACTGGATCACTGCCTCTCCATGCTTAATAACACAGACAATATTCCTTACAGCCAGTAGGCCCAGAGAGCCATCACAACCTTGTTGAGCCTGACGTTTTCTGGAACTGATTTCCTCTCTGACCCACACCTTGCCACTTCAACAATTAGTCGCATCCTGTCATGTCACCAACTACCAGCACACATTCACTCAACACAACCAGCAGAAACACGTAAGGTCAACACTAGTAACACATATCTGTCACGTCACAATCACCACACCGTATGTTAAAGTCAGTCCACACACTCTCAACAGAGCCACACGCGTTAACAGTCAGCCACACACTCACGTCAACAGTCAGCCACACACTGTCACGGCAACAATCAGCCACACGCTGTCATGTCAAGTCAGCCACACACTGACATGGCAACAGTCAGCCACACACTGGTCATGCCAACAGTCAGCCACTACTGTCATGTCAACAGTCATCCACACACTGTCATGTCAACAGTCATCCACACACTATCATGTCAACAATCTAGCCCCAACTCACATCAACAGTCAGCCACACACTGTCATGTCAACAGTCAGCCACACGCTGTCATGTCAACAGGCAGCCACACACTTGTCATGTCAACAGTCAGCCACACACTGTCATGTCAACAGTCAGCCACACACTGTCATGTCAACAGTCAGCCACACACTGTCATGTCAACAGTCGCACACACTGTCATGTCAACAGGCAGCCACACACTTGTCATGTCAACAGTCAGCCACACACTGTCATGTCAACAGTCAGCCACACACTGTCATGTCAACAGGCAGCCACACACTGTCATGTCAACAGTCAGCCACACACTGTCATGTCAACAGTCAGCCACACATTTGTCATGTCAACAGTCAGCCACACACTGTCATGTCAACAGTCAGCCACACACTGTCATGTCAACAGTCAGCCACACATTTGTCATGTCAACAGTCAGCCACAACTGTCATGTCAACAGTCAGCCACACACTTGTCATGTCAACAGTCAGCCACACACTGTCATGTCAACAGTCAGCCACACACTGTCATGTCAACAGTCAGCCACACACTGTCATGTCAACAGTCAGCCACACACGTCATGTCAACAGTCAGCCACACACTGTCATGTCACACAGCCACACCTGTCATGTCAACAGTCAGCCACACACTGTCATGTCAACAGTCAGCCACACACTGTCATGTCAACAGTCAGCCACACACTGTCATGTCAACAGTCAGCCACACACTGTCATGTCAACAGTCAGCCACACACTGTCATGTCAACAGTCAGCCACACACTGTCATGTCAACAGTCAGCCACACACTGTCATGTCAACAGGCAGCCACACTGTCATGTCAACAGTCAGCCACACACTGTCATGTCAACAGTCAGCCACACACTGTCATGTCAACAGTCAGCCACACACTGTCATGTCAACAGTCAGCCACACACTTGTCATGTCAACAGTCAGCCACACACTGTCATGTCAACAGTCAGCCACACACTGTCATGTCAACAGTCAGCCACACACTGTCATGTCAACAGTCAGCCACACACTGTCATGTCAACAGTCAGCCACACACTGTCATGTCAACAGCCACACTTGTCATGTCAACAGTCAGCCACACACTTGTCATGTCAACAGTCAGCCACACACTGTCATGTCAACAGTCAGCCACACACTGTCATGTCAACAGTCAGCCACACACTTGTCATGTCAACAGGTAACACTTGCAAGAGTTCTCACAACAATGTTGCATTAAGTGCGACATCTCATTACCTGAGGAACAAAGCAACAATTTTAGCCTCGAAAAAGTTGCATGAAATTGCAGTGTCAGTGCAAAACACCGAGTGTCAGCCTTCTGTCAGTCAGCAGGTGCTGGAGAACACACCATCTGTGAGTGTCAGCCGTCAGTCAATAGGTGCTGGAGAACACACCATCTGTGTCAGCCGTCAGTCAGTCAGCAGGTGCTGGAGAACACACCATCTGTGTCAGCCGTCAGTCAGTCAGCAGGTGCTGAAGAACAAACCATCTGTGAGTGTCAGCCGTCAGTCAATAGGTGCTGGAGAACACACCATCTGTGTCAGCCGTCAGTCAAGTCAGCAGGTGCTGGAGAACACACCATCTGTGTCAGCCGTCAGCAGGTGCTGGAGAACACACCATCTGAGTGTCAGCCATCGGTCAGCAGTCTATAAAATGTGAGTGCTGCGTCATCAGAATAGTGCTGGAAGTACACTACCATTGTGTATAGCCGTCAGCCAGTTACATCTTGGGACACACCATCTGTCAGCAGTCACGCTGTTGAATAACAGATAATCTGAAGGGTCAGCCATCGGGCAGAGTGGTAATAGAAGGAGGGAGATCGATAGCCACAGTCATTAAATCGATAAAGCCATCCGTTTTATACCGTCACTCTCTTGGACGCAACACTACTGCACTCCCTGATATTTAATTAACCAATGAATAATTGAATGAGTGATAAGGTGCACTCAGGGACGAGGCGGAGTAGGGGAAGTGAGTGAAATATGGCGAGAGATCGTAATAACAAACACAGTTCCAGCACTGTATGATCACGAGACATAGCGTGACCTGTAAAGGAACAACCTTAGAAAATGAAATGGATGGAAACAAGTGCCTGGGAAATGTGATGAAATTAGCGGATGGAAATAACACAGGGCGGAGGACAGGAGAACAGGCGGGAGGAACGGTGGAACAGGAGGAACGGTGGAACAGGGGGAACGGTGGAACAGGCGCGGTGAAGGGAACGGTGGAACAGGCGGGAGGTACGGTGGAACAGGCGGGAGACGGAACGGGAGGAACGGTGGAACAGGCGGGGAACGGTGGAACAGGCGGAGGAACGGTGAACAGGCGGAAGGAACGGTGGAACAGGCGGGAGGTACGGTGGAACAGGCGGGAGGAACGGTGGAACAGGCGGGGGTAACGGTGGAACAGGCGGAGGAACGGTGGAACAGGCGGGGAGAACGGTGGAAAAGGCGGGGGACCGGTGGAACAGGCAGGGAGAACGGTGGAACAAGCGGGGGGAACGGTGGAACAGGCGGGGAGAACGGTGGAACTAGCGGGGGGAACATAGAAGACAAGTAAGGAACATGCAGAGCACACGAGGGAGAGGGAGGGGGGGGGGGGGGGGAGAGGGAAGGGGGGGAGAGAGAGAAGAGAGGAGAGAGAGAGGAGGAGAGAGAGAGAGAGAGAGAGAGAGGAGAGAGAGAGAGAGAGAGAGAGAGAGAGAGAGAGAGAGAGAGAGAGAGAACAGGCAGAAAGAAAAAGAAACCAAACTTTGCAATTAACAAAAAAAAATATATGCACATATCCTCTAGGTAGAAATCACCTATAATTTCGTATCCACGTTGTCAAAAAAAAAAATGTATATTTAAAAAAAAAAAGTAATAAAAAACACTAGTCCGGAATATTTTTTGAGTGATGTAAATACAAACACGTGAGCATATGTAAAAGCGATAAAGAGTAGAGTGCACACCAAAACATGATGGGGATGATAAACCAGCCAATATTTGAGCACCAATTTTGACCAATGGCAACATTACAGCACACTCTGAACTCGGCAAACGATATAATAGTTCCACTGTAGTTGTTGAGGCTAATGTTGCGTACAGTGTGGCTCGTGCTGTGCGTGTGGTGGGGGGAGGGTATGAGGAGCCTTCAGAGAGCCTTACCGTGTTCAAGGAGGCTACGAGAAGTCTTCAGAGCCTTTAAGAGATCTACTTTTTTCAAGGCTACGAGAAGCCTTCAGAGATCTACTTTTTTCAAGGCTACGAGAAGCCTTCAAGGCTACATTGAACCTTCGTGGAGGCTATGAAACCTTCAGAAAGCCTTTAAGGAATCTACAGTTTTCGAGAAGCCTCCACTGAGGCTAAGCGAAGCCTCCCTGGAGGCTACGAGGAACCTTCAACAAGGTTACAAGCTTTCACCCCTTTAGGGGGTAAAGGACTTTTAAATCAAGGAATCAAACCTTCCCTCCCTACCTCACACCAGACCTGATTCTTCCCAACCTTTATTTTCCCAAAGAACTGTGTGACCTCTCACGGATTTTACAATTCCCCGTGAATAATAATAATAATAATAAATAATAATAATAATAATAATAATATAGAATTCCAAGACGAGGATCAAGAGCTCTTTTTACCAATGAAAACAGAGAAGACCACTGTCAGTTGATAACACACACTTGGAGAGTGTAAAATAGTGGGCGGAACAATGTAAGTGGGGTGTCGCCAAGACGAACTGCCACTTACCGCCAGTTCATCATGTAACAAGACGATCAGTGGCGCTAGTGGTGCTGGCTCAGTGCTTCTGCTCCCTCAGGCTGTAGACACTTATGATGCTCCTCTCTGCTACCACAACTACCAGGTGCTTTTGTGGTCTGCCACCACCACCACCTGCTGGCGTGGTCTGCCACCCCCACCACCTGCTGGTGTGGTCTGCCACCCTCCACCACCTGGTGTGGTCTGCCTCCCCACCACCTGCTGGCGTGGTCTGCCACCCTTCACACCTGCTGGCGTGGTCTGCCACCCTTCACCACCTGGTGTGGTCTGCCTCCCCCACCATCTATTGGCGCGTTCTGCGACCTTCGGCATTGAATATTTTGAAATTGCTCTGTGTAGAGTTTTATCCTCACTTATAAAAGCTCTACACAGAGCTTTGCCTGCAACGCGTTTCTTTTATATCGAATATTAGTATACCACCCCCTCTGCACCCGCACCTACCTCTGCGTCCACAGGGAGGCTCGTCCATCGTGCGACGTCCTACGGTAACGATACCTGGAGGGTGTTCTGGGGGTCAACGCCCCCTCGATGAAATGTATCAACGGGTAGACTTATCATTTATCACTCTTTCCCTTAATTATCGGAGGTTCTCTTTCCATTATTTAGTGGACGGTGCGAGCGGTCAAGTCATCCATCACCTGTCACATTTGCTTCAGTCTGGTCGCTATGGCGGTGATCACCTCAACACTACCTCCTGCCCCTTTACTCTCACACACACATGTATCCTCAGGCAGGCAATCTTCCTGCTTAGAAGAATGGCAGTTTAGCTACCTTTCTGCTTGCTTGCCTCCCTGTCTGCCTGCCAGTCTACATCCTTCCACACACTTTACAGTCTCAACCTCTTAAAGTATGTCCCTACTTAACAAAAAAAGCAGCCTCGTAACAAATACCGGTATAATAAACACGAGAACAACATAAATGTACATATCATATTCCTCAGTGTTGTGTACAATACCTTCGCTTGGACCAGTATTAAACAGCGTAAATAAGTTGTACTTGGGTATCAAGTGCTTTCTAGGAATGGTTCCTTGAAGGATGCTGCTGAAGGACTCTGGGAACAGCCCTCCCTCTTTCTCAAATATGATTATCTCCCATTCCCCATTCTGTGACCTCCTACGGGTCACCCTCTTCTCTCCAACCGGGATAGGCATCCCAAGTAACGTCAACTCCAGCCGTGCTGGAAGAAAACCTCTCGAGGCTGTACGCAGCACCGTATGACCCATGTGGGTTTAGTGCTTAGTTTTAATTATAAAAAATAATAATGGAGGCTGCCTCAGCTGGCGAAACTTTAACCCAATACCTGACAATATTCTCATCACCGTTCTCAAGTTTCCCAGCTACACCATGTGACTCATCCTGTGTGATGGAATATGACAGGGAAATATCCAGTTTTTGTTTTCACTATGTAACTTTTGATGTATACAATTTTTGATATTTACAAAAAAATCTTCTAAACTGGATCTTTCTCTCACTTTACCTCGCTCTCCCCCCTCACTATTTTTTTTCTAGTCTCCCTTCACACTCTCACCCCCTTCACACACTCCTTTCCTTTCCTCTCACATTCTTCCCTCCATCTGTCTTCACTTACCATTTCCTCTCACTCTTGACTCCACCGTCTGTCACTCAACTCTCATCTCACACGAAGTACTACCTCCAACTTTTGTTCACTATGTAACTTTCTCATCCACACACATTTCTCACTCACCACTCTTCCCTATCAACACACTCTTCCCTCATCAAACACTCTTTCTCTCACTCCCTACACTCTCCTCTCCCACCTCCTCCTATCCTCACACTCTTGCTCATCTCCCTCACACTCTGCCTCCCTCTCACACATCATCCTCTCCTTCCTCACATTGCTCATCCCTCAAACTCTGCTCCCTCCCACTACACTCTTGCTCCACTCCCACACCTCTTGCCTCCACCTCCATCACCCCACTCTCACACATCTTCCTCCATCCTCACACTGCCGTCCACTCCTCACACACTCTTGCCTCCATCCCTCACACACTCTTCCTCCACTCCCTCACACACTCTCCCTCCTCACATTCCCACCCACACTCTTGCCTCCATTCCCCACACACTCTTCCTCCACTCCCACACACACTCTTTCCTCCACTCCCACACACTTTTGCCTCCCATCCCCACACACTCTTGCCTCCACTCCTCACACACTCTTCCTCCACTCCCCACACACTCTTGCCCCTCCATTTCCTCCATCCACACTCTTGCCTCCACTCCCACACACACTCTTGCCTCCACTCCCTCACACTTGCCTCCCTCCCTCACACACTCATGCCTCCACTCCGTCACACACTCTTGCCTCCACTCCCTCACACACTCTTGCCTCCACTCCCTCACACACTCTTGCCTCCACTCCGTCCCCACACTCTTGCCTCCACTCCCACACACTCTTGCCTCCACTCCCACACACACTCTTGCCTCCACTCCCCACACACTCTTGCCTCCACTCCCTCACACACTCTTGCCTCCACTCCCTCACACACTCTTGCCTCCACTCCCACACACACTCTTGCCTCCACTCCCACACACACTCTTGCCTCCACTCCCACACACACACTCTTGCCTCCACTCCCACACACACTCTTGCCTCCACTCCCACACACACTCTTGCCTCCACTCCCACACACACTCTTGCCTCCACTCCCACACACACTCTTGCCTCCACTCCCCCACACACTCCACCAGATACACATCAATATCACACAAGTGTGATGAACACAAAATTGACAGGAAATTATTAATATTTTTTTTATCATTACCGAACAATAATAATTCGACAGAAGTATATTCTCATTTTTCCCCGGTGGTAATTAGCTCGACCAATCAAAACGACGTGCGAGGGAGAGTGACACACAATTGGTTGATTGCCGAGGTCATTAAGGGATGCTAATGTGGTATGATTGAGAGGCTGCTTAACTTTTACCACCGACCCACAACAAGGACTACTTCCAGGGATGCTGGGGGTTGGGCAGCCCTAAACCCTGGTAGAGCCAACCCAGGGCAGGAAGCCCTGAGACCATCAGAGAACTCTAGATAGTCAAGGAGCCCCGAAGAGTAAAGAAGCTTTGAATGCAGAGTCCTAAAATCAGCCAGGAAGCTTTGAGCGCAGTAAAGGAGCTCAAAATTTTAATTCTTTCAGAATCCTAATTATTATTTACCTTACAATATTAATGATTATCAAGAATATCATCCTCAATATCACAATTATTTTATCATTATCAGATGTATAGTGATCACCAAGTTATCGTCATTATCAGGTGTACTGTGATCACCTGGTGTTCTCCGCCTTCCGCTGTTCATTAGCTAACTCACCAGCAGCGCCTCTGGCGGCTTCTCGTGATATTATGCAAACACGGGGAAGGGGGGGGGAAGAGAGGGGCAGGGAAAAAAACACAAACAGGCGTGTAATTTTGTGTATTTTTTGTCGCTGGCAGTGTGATGTGCGTCCGCAATAAAGCCGATGCCTGGCCGACTGCCACTCTCAGGAGCCGCATACAAATCAACCAGTAATTAACAGCGATAAACATGAGCTTTCAATGGCATGTAAAACACTTAATAATATTCACCAGGGCTAAAACTACTCCCAATTTCAGTTGAGTACATTTCCATATCACGGCAAGTTGATCTGCATTCATCAACGTGGTCCGTCCGTCCATCCCCACGATGAGGGCGGATGGAACGGACGGTATGGTGGATAGGAGAATAAAAGAGGGACATCGAGAGACGAGAATTGGAGGAATATAATATGCTCTTTATAGTTTACTGCGTAAGACCTCAACAATACCTGAACGGTGTTCTCGGGGGTCAGCGCCCCCTGACCCGTAATTTAATGGTAAAGAACAAAAAAAGTCACAATACCGAAACTGGATCAATACACGAATAACCCGCACATAAGAGAGAGGAGCTTACGACGACGTTTCGGTCCGACTTGGACTATTTACAAAGTCACTCTTTGTAAATGGTCCAAGTCGGACCGAAACGTCGTCGTAAGCTTCTCTCTCTTATGTGCGGGTTATTTGTAGTAATGAACCAGGCTGTTACTGCTGGCCGCACGCAGACCCACTTACGAACAACACAACCCGACTAATCAGAAACCGACTTGACAAATTATCAACTTCCCTCTTGAAGATGGTTAGGAGTAGCTAGATGTCTGTTAGTAATCCCCCTGACGTATGATAGGAGGCTGAGGAATCCTGGGCCCCTTACACATATTGTGTTATCTCTTACTGTACCCAGAGCACCCTTGCTTTTCACTGGGGATATTTCGCAACTTCTACCCATCCTCTTACTTTTGTAGGCTGTATGTCCTAATTGGGGGGGGGCAATCCCTCTAGGATTTTTTGTGTAAATTATGGTGTATCTTTCTCGCCTGCGATCCAAGGAGTTCAGGTCAAGAGACTTTAAATGTTCCCAGTAATTTAGGTGCTTGGCTGAATTTATACGAGCAATGAAGACTTTCTGTACATTCTCTAACTTTGCAATTTCGTCTGCCTTAACAGGGGCTGTTAGTGAAGAGTAATATTCCATCCTAGAGAGAACAAACGACTTAAAGTGAACTATCATTGGCTTGGCATCTTGTTTTGAAGGTTCTCATTATCCATCCAATCATCTACTTCGTGGTTGTGATAACACTTCTGTGATAATTAAAAGTGAGATCCTATGACATTATCAAGTCCTTCACGTTACTGTTTGCTCTATTTTATTTTTTGTTCTATTAAGTGGTAAGAGTTAGTTTTATACTCTCTTCTAGTTTTCCCCGTGTTTTATACTCTTCTAGTTTTCCCCGTGTTTTATACTCTTCTAGTTTTTCCCGTGTTTTATACTCTCTCCTAGTTACCCCCGTGTTTTATACTTTCTTCTAGTTATCCCCGTGTTTTATACTCTCTCCTGTTACCCCGTGTTTTATACTCTCTCCTAGTTATCCCCGTGTTTTATACTCTCTCCTTTTACTTTTACCCCGTGTTTTATACTTTCTTCTAGTTATCCCGTGTTTTATACTCTCTCCTAGTTACCCCCGTGTTTTATACTTTCTTCTAGTTATCCCCGTGTTTTATACTCTCTCCTAGTTATCCCCGTGTTTTATACTTTCTTCTAGTTATCCCCGTG